TTATTACAACCAGCCTGTAGTAAGCATTTATTCCTTTAACGTTTTAACCTTGTATTTAGCCAATCGATAAACAGTTAAATATACTATTTCAACAATACAACATCAATCATTGGAGTAGGTCAGTGTGTCATAGAACATTTGCTGTTTCAATGATGGGACATGATAATTACTTACAGGCCCAAATATCGGGTTGTTCGGAAAGTCATTTCGTTTTTTCCCTACAGAGGATTTAATTGTATTCTTTTGCACCCAACTTCACATTTAAGCCGTATAATTTTTATATGCTTTGAGAGCTCATATAGCAAGGCTTGTGTGNTTTTTACTTTTTTAACGTGTTTTATTATTTTAATAAACAATTTTACAATTTGCGTGCACAATTCCTAGGTAAATTTTTCCCTCATTCGAGTTATAAATTTTGCCACCAGATGGTGTATGCCCATTTGACGGATCCCAATAGACGTAGGAAGGAAACAGGCTTCCTGGCTGAGGAATATCCGTGAATGGACCGGCATATGCACATAACGCGCGGAAATTTTTCCAAATAGCGCAGAACCGTGAACAACTCATCGATGTAATCACCAACCTGGAACCTGATACGGCACTTGAAAAAGAATATCTACGTTGCCGATTCACGGCCCAATTTCTGTTTTGACTCATAACCACATTGCTGTTCTCACCATGCGATTCCCTAGTGCATCTAATTACTACCCCACAAAGCTTACAACTTATTTTAGAAACACACTGTAGTTCATGATCTAAATGAACAACAGTGTACATCATAGAATACCTAAGATCCTAAAAGCTAGAATCGTAACAGTATACATTAATTTTCATAAATGTTGTCAGCAAAATGATGCAGAATCCATATTCAATATACAAATGGTTACGTAAAATTTCGAACATAGTAAAAATGATGATTTGAAGAATCAGAGGACTGATCAAATTTCTAGACTACCATCATCACTTCTGCAACAGATATTGCTGGTGAGTACTGTAATGTAAAATTATTTCTGGATAAGCAGGTTAATACATTACCAAACATACTTCTTTAAGTAGACCGTGTAAATTATTTAATTTTTGGATTTTTTAGTTACCTATTACCCCATGAGTTTTGAATATCAGTTACCCCTATCAATGTGTCTACAAAATTTCATGATGGTCGATTGAATATTTAGGCGTGAAATCGACTACATAAAGATAATTTTTCTCTCGGAAACAGTATTTTTTTCTGGATAAAAAGTACCCTATACTCTTTTATGAACTCCTGACAATGTGTCTACAAAATTTCATGATGATCAATTGAGTATTTAAAATGTAAAATCGACCACATAAAACTAATTTTCTTCTATCCTTCGGGAACAATATTTCGATATATAATTTAATGAAGTATTTGTTTATTATACGAAAACTGTCTTTCATTTCCACAAAAAAAACGAAATGACTTTCCGAACAACCCTATAGTACACACTAAATAGCACGAACCGTTGGCTTCTCTTCACGTGACAGTTTGACAAATTTTAAAGGAACAATTACTGGCTCTTTATCATTTGCAGCGAGTTCTAGGAAACTGATAAGATCAGTCACGGCGATTTTGTACCAATGATTTCGACAGAAAGGAGCTTCAAAGCTGTATTTTTTTTTCATGGGGATTTGTTTACGGATAAATGTTGGTTCACGAGAGACAGAACATTGCACTTTCAAAATCCCTATTGATATGATGTAAATCCGCATCTGGAGCATCCTTCGCGATTTCTACAACGGTTTTCGGTAAATGTTCTTTTTTGTGTTCACAATTTTTTCATGTTGAAGTGTAATTTACATAGCGCTGCATACTATCAGCGATCATAATGGTTACTTAAACATTTTGTGTATCTAGTAGCGTAATAGTAAGCTGTTGATGATTACTTTATTAGTCGTTCATTACCTAGCACATTCTCCTTCGATGTAGATGTGTAGTTCTTATCGTAATTCGTTGTAATAATATCTAATGTAGAGACTAAGAATTTCTTCATTATAAGGTCGTCAGTCCTAAGACTGATTGGACACGCATCTCCACTCTTTCCTATCCTGAGCTAATCTTCGCATTTCCCTAAAACTAGAACAACCCATATCGTTAACTGTTTGTGAACAGTAACCTAATCTAGGTCTACCTCTACCCCTCCTAACTTCCGTTTCTGCCTCTAATATGTCTCTGACTAGACCTTTATGCCTGAAAAGGTGTCCTACTAACCTATTTCGGCCATTTCTTATTGCCTTCCATAGAGTCCTCTGTTCTTTTATTCTTTCTTCATTTCTAACCTTCTCTCTCCACGGTATCCTGATCATTCGCCTGTAACACCACATTTTGATCGCCTCTAAATATTGAGACTGAAATCTTTATATTATATAATTGGTGAGGTGATTCTGGGTGATTTAAGCAATATCATATCAATGACTTTCACGTGCAAAGTCGATTTAAGAGAACGTTGCAAACACATTATTGCAACTTTGTTGTATTGTAACAGGTAGGTTCTTAACCTCGAAATACTTATATCGTATCATTAGAATTGTGTTAAATCAATTACACAGGAATAAATAATTTCTCACTTTATAATTTTAGTATGATTCTAGTTTTAAATATTAAGGTTATGGCTGATGGTAAATACTTGCTGAAATATAATCATGTGCATTAAAATGACGTGAACAAATTTTTATTCCGGAATTCACTTCTTTGATACCTACTGCTTTCATCCAAGCTTCTATTAGTTTACTTTTTTCTCTAATTTTCCGAATATATTTTTTACATATATAAAACGGTTAGTTTTTATTGGAAAGTAGTTAATGTAGGTGAAGAGTGAAGATCTATGTCTGAAGTGCTATTGCAGCTTTTCACTGAACATATTAACTTTTTATTTGATTTAACTTTAGAAGAAAACTTCGTCGACTCCATCATCAAAAAAATTTTTACTTTTTTAACGTGTTTTATTATTTTAATAAACAATTTTACAATTTGCGTGCACAGTTCCTATGTAAATTTTTCCCTCATTCGAGTTATAAATTTTGCCACCAGATGGTGTATGCCCATTTGACGGATCCCAATAGACGTAGGAAGGAAACAGGCTTCCTGGCTGAGGAATATCCGTGAATGGACCGGCATATGCACATAACGCGCGGAAATTTTTCCAAATAGCGCAGAACCGTGAACAACTCATCGATGTAATCACCAACCTGGAACCTGATACGGCACTTGAAAAAGAATATCTACGTTGCCGATTCACGGCCCAATTTCTGTTTTGACTCATAACCACATTGCTGTTCTCACCATGCGATTCCCTAGTGCATCTAATTACTACCCCACAAAGCTTACAACTTATTTTAGAAACACACTGTAGTTCATGATCTAAATGAACAACAGTGTACATCATAGAATACCTAAGATCCTAAAAGCTAGAATCGTAACAGTATACATTAATTTTCATAAATGTTGTCAGCAAAATGATGCAGAATCCATATTCAATATACAAATGGTTACGTAAAATTTCGAACATAGTAAAAATGATGATTTGAAGAATCAGAGGACTGATCAAATTTCTAGACTACCATCATCACTTCTGCAACAGATATTGCTGGTGAGTACTGTAATGTAAAATTATTTCTGGATAAGCAGGTTAATACATAACCAAACATACTTCTTTAAGTAGACCGTGTAAATTATTTAATTTTTGGATTTTTTAGTTACCTATTACCCCATGAGTTTTGAATATCAGTTACCCCTATCAATGTGTCTACAAAATTTCATGATGGTCGATTGAATATTTAGGCGTGAAATCGACTACATAAAGATAATTTTTCTCTCGGAAACAGTATTTTTTTCTGGATAAAAGGTACCATATACTCTTTTATGAACCCCTGACAATGTGTCTACAAAATTTCATGATGATCAATTGTATATTAAGTGTGAAATCGACCACATAAAACTAATTTTATTCTATCCTTCGGGAACAATATTTTTTGTGGATAAAAGGTACTGTATGTCCTTTTCTATACCCTTGACAATGTGTATACAAAATTTTGACCACATAAAACTAATTTTTTTCGATACTTCGGGAACAGTATTTTTTTCTGTATAAAAAGTACCCTATGTCCTTTTCCGTACCCCTGACAATGCGTCTACAAAATTTCATAATGATTGATGGGGTAGTTAAGGCGTGAAATCAATCACATAAAGCTAATTTTTCTATCCCTCGGGAGCAGTTTTTTTTCTGGATAAAAGGTACCCTACGTCCTTTTCTGAACCACTGATAATGTGTCTTCAAAATTTCATGATGATCGATTGAGTATTTAAGGTGTGAAATCGACCACATAAAACTAATTTTTTTCTATCCTTCGGAAACAATATTTTTTCTGGATAAAATGTACTGTATGTCCTTTTGTGTATCCCTGACAATGTGTGTACAAAATTTGATGATGATTGAATTAGTAGTTAAGGAATGAAAAGCCGACAAAGAAACAAACTTATTGGCATAAAATAATTCGAAGTGGTTTGTATTCTTTCGTAACTTTCAGACGCAGATCGCGATTTCGATTTTTTTGAATCCCATCAGCGCTTCGCAGGCAGCTGCGACAGAACACAGACCAACTTTTACCTGCTGTCTTAACAGCGCGTTTTAGAAAATACCACAAATTGAGCGCTAAACGCCATCTGTAGTACGCTACATTTTAAGATTACGTATGCTCCAACAAGGTCCATTTAAATATATGGATATCTACTTGCTGAAACGAATCCCGGCCACTTCGAATTATTTTATTCGATTATGGTAACGTGCCTATCACGTAGTGGTTAGCTACGCCGGGATTCGTTTCAGCAAGTAGATATCCATATGTTTAAATGGACCTTGCTGGAGCATTCGTAATCCTAAAATATAACATCGTACTACAGATTGCGGTTACCGCGCCATTTGTGGTATTTTCTAAAACTTAGTCGAATTTATACGTAATATTAGTTAAAATTACCAGGCAAATGTGCTTTTGTTTTAAATTATCAATCTGAAAAACTGAAAGTGCTTTTTTCTATGCCATTTTGTATAAACCTAATAATTGAACTTGTTGGCTGAACGACAGGAATTGCTTTTTACTAAATATCAAGAGAAGCAAGCAGGATACGTACTGCATGGTGTTTTATAAAGTCTTGTTCAATTATTATTGTTTTTATTTCGTTTTTCACATAATTTTGGTTTTTTATTCATCACTCGAATATTTTTCAATTCTATTTCATTTAATAATAATTTCTTGTTTATTTTATTTTCCATGTAATCCATTAACTTACCACCTCGGGAAAGGATCCAGAGAAATTCTAAAAAGCAAAAGAATCAATGTTTGAAACTTAATTAGTCGTTAAAAACTTTACGTAAACTCCTCCACCCGATATTTGAACAGGCCCAAACTGCTGCATAATTTTTGTAGTCTGTCTTCATAATTAAATAAAGAAGTTTTATCGAAAACTGATTGTCTTTGTAGAGATGGAAATAACCGTTCTCTAACTCAGGATAAACCATTTTTAACACACCTTGATGTGAGGCTTTACTAACAATATATTTATTGTTATCAAAAGACTGATGATTTATTGATAAAGATTCTGTATCAATTGCAGTATAATTCATCTGAGCACAAGTTACGTTATCTTCTAACTCATTTTTGTACGCTTTATATACATACCACATTCCAGAAAACTGCAACACAACCATACGTATAAACTAATAAAAATAATTCGAAGTGGTCTGTATTCTGTCGAAACTGCCAGACGCGGATCGCGATTTCGATCTTTTCGGATCTCATCAGCGCGTCGCAGGCAGCTTCAACAGAACACAGACCAATTTTTACCTGCTGCCTTAACAGCGCATTTTAGAAAATACGACAAATGGCGCTGTAAACGCCATCTGTAGTACAGTGCTACATTTTAGGATTACGTATGCTTCAACAAGGTCCATTTAAATATATGGATATCTACTTGCTGAAACGAATCCCGGCGTAGCT